TTAGGCAAAAGGCACCACCACATCCACCCCATGTCTAGTCTGGGCAAGGTATCTCTTCATATAGAATGGGCTCCTTTAAGTCAGTTTGTGCATTAGAATTAGATCTTGGAGCCACTACCAGTGATGTCATATATTGCCCCCACCACCCCATTGTCGCCTATACTAATGGAGTCTAGTTTGGTCTTATGCAGGTTCCTTATTTGTCAGATTAGAGTCAGTGATCTCTCCCTAGCTTGGGCAGCTGATTCTGTGGGTTTCCCATTATAGTCTTAACTCCTTTGCATATCTTAATGAAGTCTTTTTCTACCTAAATAATATCACTGGGACTCCTTGTGAGAAGAGGAAATAGACTTAATTATCAATATGCTTGGACCTTGCTTTATAAAACTAAGGGGCTATTCTCTCATTAGTGAATATCATAAAGCTAGACAAACTTATGTCCCTGTGGGTACTGAAGATGTGCCTTTCTCATATTCCTTATTTCCTCCTTTATTCTATGAGTCTAGTTATGGATAATAGTTGCTCCATAGAAGTTTTAATCGAATAGCTTTCTCTTGTTAATTTGCCTCCAGATAATAATTTGGTTTCTTAATTAAGGCAGTGAAAACACACATTATGATCTTTACCTGATATATGTTTTGATTAGTTCCAATACCTACAATTGCATTTGACTAAAGAACTCTCTTTCCCCTGCACAGAGACTCTGTGTGTTAGAAGCAGGGGGAGGAGGTCTGGGCAGTCTAGAAACATGGGAGAGGGCCTAGGTCCTGCCCCAAATCATGTGACAGACTTTGATGATTACCCATGGGAGGCCACAGCCTTCCTGAGAAGTGGATGGGGGATGGGATGGGGCAGTTAGTCAGGGGAATGGGAGGGAGAGGAAAATGGGATTAGTATGTAAAAATACGATTTTTAAAATTTAAATAAAAATTAATTACAAGCAAAACAAAAAGACAGTGGTTTAATTTTACCCAGAAGTAGGTGTATTTCCTCACTATAAAAAATACTATTTATTTATAGTAAAGTTTGTAAAGTATTCTATATCCATTTATTTGAAGTCTGCCTAGTCTCTGAGTATATTTGTCCATTTTTTTTCTGTCTCTTATTTGCTCATCTTTCCTGTTGTGGATTGAATGAGAAATGTCCCCCACAAGCTTATGCATATTAACACTTGATCCCAAGCTAGCAGTGTTCTTTGGAAGCATTCTGGAAATATCATGAGGTAGCGACTAACCAGAGCAGTGTTTCTCAAAATGTGGGCTCTGACACTTCTGGGGGTTGAATGACCTCTTCACTGGAGTCACCTAAGGACACTAAAATACTAGATATTTCCATTATGATTCTTAAGTAACAAAATTGCAGTTACGAAATAGCAACAATAGTTTTATGGTTCTACAACATGAGGAACTGTATTAAAGGTTCACAGCTTTAAGAAGCTTAAGAATCACTAATTTAGAGAATGTATTCTACTGGGGGCAGCCCTTGATGTTTTAAAGCTTGTAACCTCTTGCTGTTTTCTCTCTGATTTCTAACTATCGATGCAGTGAGACAAAATGCCTCATGCTCCTGCTGCCATGTCTTCCTTCTTATGATGGACGGTATTCTCTTGGAGATGTAAAACCAGATCAGACTTTCCCTCGTTAAATCATTATAGTCAAGTGTTTGGTTACAGTAACAGGCTAAATAATTAAGATCCTTCCTGTAATAAAATGTCTGTCAGCATTCTTGAAAAATGTCTCATCATGACTATGATAAAAATCATTACAGGCAAATTATTACAATTTTGCATGTTTATTTTGATTGTAAGTCTTTTTTTTAGAACCCACTCTTCCTCTTTTTACAGTGAAAACTCATACAATATAATCTGATCCTATTTTCATTTTCCCCATATCCTCGAAGATCCTGCTCACATCCGACCCTTGCAACTCCATGTCTTCTTTTCTCTCTTTCTTCAGAAAATAAAATAAAAAAAAACAATGGGCCACTAAAAATTTTAAAATGGCCAGAATAATGAAAAAAATGATGAAAAGCTCAAGAAACACATACACATATACACACATAAAAACAAAACCCATAAAAACACAAAATAGGAATCTATAATGTAAAAGCAAAAGATCAGTAATATAAAAAATGTATGAACAAAGAAATATGAGACAACAAATGTAAAACACCATTGGGTTCATTTTGTGTTGGCTATCTACTGCTGGGCATAGGACCTGAAGTAGGGTTTGTATACCCATCAAGACACTGTTGGAGAAATCTATTTTTTTTCCCTTTGGAAGTGGTTGTTGACTGGAACTAGCTTCTTGGTTAGTGTTGGAAGCTCATGTCTACTTCCCTCATATCATTTTTGTTGGAAAGACACAGTTTCATTCATATCATCCATTCCTGTTGGCTCTTATAATGTTTCTAACTTTTTTTTCTGCATAACTCCTCAGCAATGAGAGGATGGGTTTCATGACGAAATCTCACTTAGTATTGAGTATTCCAAAGTCTCTCACTCTCTGCTGATTATACAGTTGTGAGGCATGAACCAATCTTATACATTTCAAGTTCTTAATGTGATGGATTTGCTGCTGCTTCTTACTGACTGAGTTATTTTTCATTTCCTAAGAAAAGACAAAATAAATAAAAGCTCCTCACTCTCCAAAATAAATAAATAAATAAAGTAGGGAATAGTATTCCTCTCAAACAAAGGATACCAGCAGAGATGCAGAGTGTTAATGCAGTGCCTAAGAAAAGGCTTAACAGCATTGTGCCTTCTTAGAGTCTATTTATGGTTTGAATTGAAATTAAGAATCCAGCTACAAGCCACTTGAAATAAAAGACAGTAACTCATTTCTACATAGCAATCAGAGTTTTTGTTCTAAAGTGCAAAGTTGATCATGACATTCTCTAACTTAAAATTATTCAATTGATCCCAATTTCCCTCAAAACAAAGTTTGTTACTATGGTATTTGTCTCCTTCATGCTCAACTTTGGCTCACTGAACTCTGCATCCCATATATACATTCTCCTGTAAATCAGCATTATTTTCACCAAATTTTATGTTTTACCTTTGTCTACCTGCAACATATTTCTACTACTACCCAGGCTAAATTTTCCTCACGCTTAAGCTAGGAGAATTCTACACTTGGGAAGCCATCCAGAGAACCCCAAGTTTTCTTATTGCTTCTCTCTTTCTCTTGTCACACTGTAAGCTTTCCTATTTATTTGTCAACTTGAGTTTTTCTTATACTTATGGTACAATGAGATCCTTGAAGATACCAGGTTCTCAAACACTCCTTTCCCATTGTGCTCTGCAACAAATGACTTAATGAATGTCTAGTTACTGAATACATGGGAAACTAAAAAATGGGCTAATATAATGTTTGGTACAACTCTGAGTTAATACATATTAAAGTTTATTTCTGCAAACTCTTCAATAGGAAAACAATTGCTTTCACTTTGTGGGTCAGTGCATAGTAGCTGATTGGTTTAAGAGAAGCATGTAAATAAATGGAGAATTTAATCAGTGCATTTTAGAAATGAATATCTTCTCTACTAAAATACTGATATTTTCCTGTCATTTAGATTCTTCTTGTTATCATCTTGTCTTTAGTTTTGTCAATCATTACACATTTTCTTGTATTGTTATAAAATGTAAATAACACTTTCCTTCTTGAGATGCTTTACGCACTAGAGGTATTACTCAGTAGATAAGGGAGTATATGATTGTTCCAGAAAACTTGAGTTACGTTCTCACTAACTTCCTGTACACTAACTACAAATCCAGGAAATCCAATGCCCTCTTCTGGCCCTTGAGGGACCTGCATACAGGTCATGCATTCACAAAAACACATGCATACAAATAAAAAAACGTAAACTTTAATGGTTCCCTGATACCCTTTTTGATGAATAAGGTGATCTTGATTGGATGTCTTAATATAAGAAAAAAGAACTCTTTCATTCTATTGATGGTTACACAGAGTTTACACCTATAATCCCTGTTTATCACTCACTATACATATGCATCTAGTTTCTCTGCATAGTTTTATGAACATTCCTGAAAAGCATTCTGTCTCTACATCAATTTTTATGGAACATTAGTTTTTATTTCTTGACTGCCTCTCAATGGGACATCTGATTCTTAGAGCCAGTATGAGTTACTTGTTAATCCTTAGAGCTATATTCAATAAGTTTGATATTTTAATTGATTTTGTTTGTCAAACATATATATATATATATATGTATATATACCTATATATATAGATAGATAGATATAGATAGAGAGATAGATAGTTAGATAGATAGATAGATAGATAGATATAGATAGATAGACAGATCATATTCCACCTTGCAATTCCATATCTTCATTTCTTAATCCCTCATACTACCCCTTTCCCACATAGCCAATTTTGATTACAGTTTCAGATTATTTATACACACTCAATTCTATGTTAATGTATAAAATGTTGGAAACAAGAATGAGTAAATTCATCTGATTTTTCTCTTTTTTGGAATGGTTTAATTCATTTAATGTGTTTACCTCCATTTGTATCTATTTTTTTTCCTCAAACATGACTGTGTTATTTTTGTTTTATTTTGTTTTGCTTTTGGAGATAGGGATTCTCTGTATTGCTTTGGAGCCTGTTCTGAAACTCTCTCTGCATAACAGACAGGCCTCAAACTTACAGAGATCCTACTGCCTCTACACCCCAATGCCCGGCAACATTGTTATTCTTTATGACTAAAAATATCCATTGTGTATATATAGCACATGTTCTTATTCATACCTTGGCTGATAAACAACTAGTAGACTCCATGATTTAATTAATGTGAAAAGTGCTGAAGTAAACATTAATGTGCAAATATATGACATGTGGACCTGTAAGACATTGGGTGAATTCCAAGGAGTTGTATGGCTGAGTTTAGAACTGTTAAGTACTCAATAATATTTATGGGATGAATAATCAGGTCAATTTTAAGATTAAACTTGATTAAACATTAAAAATCCCTTAAGGTTGTGCACCACTCTAAGATGTACTGCAAACTCTCTTCAATGCACAAAGTAGAGGAAGCAAGCTCCCATTCCATCTCCCTGCTCCAAATACACATTTATTGTGCTCCCCTCAGATAGACATTGCACCACATATTAAACTAATAAAAACTTACTCTACTTAATCTTGGTTTAAAGGCTCAAAAGCCATCGGTTACGACCTTTTTCTTAACTGTATCAATATGAAATCATGTTGGCAAACCTTTTCTCTAAAGGATCAGAGAGTAATCAGTATCATAGTTGGAGGAAGTTCTTTCTGCAGACACAGTTAGAAGATTATTATTATAGTCTTATGTTTTTCACTCACTTAATTGTAGGGTATTTAAAGATCTCCAGTTGTGAGAGTCCTCTAAAAATTAAGCTAGCACAGTCAGAAGCAGTAGACTTGGAAGGAGATGCAGAGTTTTAAATGAGAAGACTATACATGAGCAAACATATGGAAATCATTCAATTATTTGGAGGTCATCTTGTGGACAGTGTCTGTTGGGCCCAGCTGGAGTTTAATACAAAAACCCTTAGGCTCTAGCAATACCTTCTACCCCTTCAGCACATTTCGCCAAGAGCCAAGCAATTCAGAATCCTAATTAGGTTAAGTTTGTGACTAAAGTTGTTCAAACCAATGAAGGCACTTTTATGCAGACGTGATATTGGCATGACTACATTCTAGTTTTTTGAGTTTGCTTGTGTATATATAACTTTTTTACTGCCAAATTATACATATGTGTTTTCTTCTCTTCCATTTCTGTTTGTTCAGCTTGATGAGTTCATGGTGGAGTTTTGGGGTGTTTTATTTTCAAAAAATGTCAAAAGATTCAATTTTAAAATTTTTATGAGTGGTGTATTATTTACTTTCACATTGTTTAAGTTTTAGAGAAATTTGGCTTCAGTATTTAGAATCACTTTAGAAGCTACATTGCTACAAATAGAATGGAACCTTTGGAATAATGAAATTTTACATTGGCAGCTTACCATCACAAAAATAAACCAATTTGAAGTTGTCCTAAAATTTAGTGTTCTTACATCATAGGACAAATAGAGACCTCCTGTATAAGTGAAGAGTCCCCATAGAACAGAAGCATACTTATTACATGCGTATAGATTCGTAGATATTATGTGAGCAATGCAATATATATATATATATATATATATATATATATATATATTACACATATGAGCATTGTGTGTGGGAATAAAGGAGGAGTAGTATATATATATATATATATATATATATATATATATATATTATATATATGATAGAGATGCAGATGCAGAGATATAAAGAAAGAAATTTATCTTTTAAGGAATTGGCTCACATGACTTGAGATGGGGAATCTGAAGTCTTTAATATAGGGTGGTCTGTAGGAAACTCAGTCTGAAGATCAAAGTTAAAGTCCTACTGATTTTGTGATGACATCAGGATTGAGAGTGGCACTGCAAAATCCTTTAGTAGTAGATTGGTCACATTCAGGGCAATGCTTTGTAGACTTTGTAAGAAGACAAAAAGACTACCAACAATTTTATGAATATCTTACCATATCACACTACACAATCAGTATATATGTCTAATGGTCTTTTTTATTACATAGAATTCAGGTTTTTGCTCTGGTACCTGATAACTCTCACTAAAACTTTGTAGGATTCCTGTAAAGACTTTTGTGGTTGGATTTTTTAAAGGATTTTTGTCAGTGGAGACAGCATTTCATTGAACAAAAGCATGTAAAGATGCTGTTACACAACATTTTATTTTTTAAAATGTTCAAAACAAAAGCTACATTTTAGGGAAAATGAGAAGAGACTCAGTACAGAAAAAGAATCAGTAGAGACTCACAGAAGGATTAGATTGGACCTAAAATCTTTGGCATGTGTCTATTTCTATTTCAGATTATTTGTAGCCTATTATCTCCAGCATACTTCTCATTCTCTTCTGTTGGTATGAGGAAGATCTATGGTAGATTTCTCATATGTGTCTTATAAAGCCATTTGCATGTTAAAAGAGCTAGGAGATATTTTGATTTATTTATTTATTATGTATATGTGCCTATGCATGTACGTGTGTGTGTTTGTGTGTGTGTGTGTGTGTGTGTGTGTGTGTGTGTGTGTGGTGTATGTAACCATGAACATATGGGGAGACTAGAGAAGAATACTGAGTTTTCTAATCTATAACTCTTCATGTTATTCCCACCAGACAGTGTTTGTGTATGATCCTGAAGCTAGACCAGCATCTAGCAACCCCACTGATCCTCCTGTCAGAAGACCCCATAAAGAAGATGTTACAGATACTCACAAAAAGGGCACAGTTTCTGTGTGGATGCAACAATTTATTCAGACTGTTTTTCTTTCTGTTTCATGCACTTTCTTTGGGTTGATTTGAACTTCCCCCAGGAGTTCCATCTCCCCATCTTCTAGATTTAGATGACATCATACAGATCATTTAACCTGGTGGCATAATTAAGTGAAACTGGATAATTTGAAATGGGAGGGCACCTATATTTTGCTTATGGAGAATATGAATAATCTGCAGTCCTAAGGAAAATGATAGTGGGTCAAACTGAGGTGCAAATCCATGATTATTCCCTTCCACAAAGAACTGAGGTATAATTTTCCCTTTTAATATGCATTGGCCATGTGGTGGTTTCATAATCACACGGCCATGGGAAAGACACTGGGTATTGCTATTGTATTCAGGGGACCAGTCACAAAACTCCTAGAAACTGGGGAGACTAATTTGTCAGACAAGGTTATTCTTTTTTAATGGGGTGGCTTTAGCAACGGGGTTCACACATGTTCCTCTGCCACTTGATGTACTTTTCTCAATAATTATGAAACTCGTATTCTCTTCACACTGCTCTTCATTCGCACATGTGATATTTACAAATTCAAAGTTAGAAAAGATAGCTAAATATTCATATTAAACAACCTAGAGTTTATTATATTTTACTAATAAGAATTTTATAATAGGAACGTGACTCATTGTATCATCATATGAAAACAGCCTAAGGTTATGTGAAATCTAGGTTAGTTGCAGAGGAAGAAACATAGCACTTTTATAATGAGCACAAAAATAGCACAAATATTTATCTCATAACAGTTGAAGAAAATTATTCACACCTGCTCTAGGAAACTATCCGTTTGATAAATTAAATTATAGGAAACCATGTTATTTATGAATAATGTAAAATGTTCAACATTTTAATTTAGTGATATGAGTAGAAATCAATTCTCATTTGATTTCTACCAGCAGTAGAACGTGTGATTTCTTTGCACAAAGTGATATAGAAAGAAAAAAGAAAAGGAAAGCCAAATGTCAATTTGCAAAATGAGAAGTTTATAGTGAGAAAATTAGATAAAACTTTAGAATAACAATCAATGGTAGTGTAAAATCAAATATTGTCTCAAGAAGGTATTACAAATTACCTTAATTAATTACACACTACTATAGCAATGATCACTTACTATCTGTCATTATAGATCAGAAAAGTGAGTCTTAAACTTCTTTGATTGTACAAGTGAAATGATATATTACTTGCCAACCCATTTACTTGGAAGATATGTATGTTATAAATTGACATCTACACACAATATTTTTCTTATCTTTTGTAAACAACTTAAAGTTCAAGAGTGTACTTTGGTAACCATAGAATTACAGTCTAAAAGCGGTCAAAATACTAGCATAAGAAGCAAATACCCAGTGAAGACAATGAGATGTTTTCCACATGTCACTTTTTATCATCAGTTGACAAAAGCAGCCGTGTGGGGGAATCTGAACAATATTTAATTTGAGATGATGCTCAGCTGTACCATGTTTATTTATATTGGCTGTCACGTTATTTTCTTAATTATAAGCATTTAATTTTTATTTTTTTTATTTTTGTAATTGTAATTGGACCAATTTTAAATTAGAAACAAGCTTCTTTTACATGTCAGTCCCAGTTCCCTCTCCCTCCCTCCTCCCCTTCACCCCTCTTATCCCAACCCCTTTCTGCTCCCCAGGGAGGGTAAGTCTGTCATATTATTTGAAGCAGGGCCTAGACTCTCTCCTGTGTGTTTAGGATGGGAGAATATCCCTGTATGTGGAGTGGGCTCCAGAAGTCCGTTCCTGTGCTAGGAATAAATACTGATTTACTACCAGAGGCCACATAGATTAAGCAGACCTCCAAACTGGCATACTCATTCTGGGTCTGAATCAGTCCTATGCTGGTTTCCTATGAGCAACCCATTGTTCAGGTCAGCTGTTTCTGTGGGTTTCTCCAGCCTGGTCCTAACCCCTTCGCTCCCTCTCTGCAAATAGATTCCAGAGTTCAGCTCGGGGTTTAGCTGTGGGTGTCTCCTCATGCTTCCATCATCTACTGGATGAAGGCTCTAGGATGGCATATAAGGGAGTCATCAATCTTATCATTGGGGAAGGACATTTAAGGTAGCCTCTCAACAATTAGATTGTTAGTTAGGGTCAACCTTGTAGATCTCTGAACATTTCCCTAGTACCAGAGTTCTCTTTAAACCTATAATGGCTCCCTCTATTATGGTATATCTTTTCTTGCTCTCCTTTATTCTTTCCTTGACTGGATCTTCCTGTTCTCTCAGGTCCTCCTCTTCCCTCCTCTTCTCCCCTTCTCTTTCTCTAGCTCCCACTGCCCTCCCCCATGTTCCCTATTAGCTTAGGGGATCTTGTCCCTTTCTCCTTCTTTGGGGGACCGTGTATGCTTCTCTTAGGGTCCTTCTTGTTTCCTAGCTTCTCTGGCGTTGTGGATTGTAGACTGGTACTCCTTTGCTCTATGTCTAAAATTCATATATGACTGAGTACATACCATATTTGTCTTTTTGTGACTAGGTTACCTCACTCAGGATGGTTTCTTCTAGATCCATACATTTTTTTCTGCCAATTTAGACATTCCATTGTTTTGTTTTTCTGCTGAGTAGTACTCCATTGTGTAAATGTGCTACATTTTCTCCATCCATTCTTCAGGTGAGAGGCATCTAGGTTGCATCCAGAATCCGGCTATTACAAATGATGCTGCTATGAACATGGTTGAACAGATGTCCTTGTTGTATGAATGTGCATCATTTGGGTATATGACTAAGAGTGGAATTGCTGTATCTTGTGGTAGACTGATAACCATTTTCCTGAGGAACTGCCATACTGATTTTCAAAAT